CCGCTCGGAAGCGGTGCTGCGGTGGCTCAAGAACCACGCGGCTGTGGAGCCCTCTGCTGGGGCGGGCCCTGGCCCACCGTCAGGTGGGGAGACAGGGCTGCCGCCCAGCCGGCTACACTGCCAGACCAGGGGATGCCCAGTTCTGCCAAGTGGGGCTTTCGGCGCGGCCGGGTCCCTACCGCTTGCAGGACCTCTGTGGTCAGCGATGGAGCCTTTTCCACAGAGTCCACCGTGATGGTGGTGGCCATCTCCACGCTGAGCTGCTGCTGGAACAGGCCCTTCAGTGTCTTCAGAGGCAGGTGCTGCTTCGGGTAGGACACGGGGCGGTCCTGCAGGTGCGGACAGGCAGGCAGTGAGGCCCAGGCGCCTGCCCGGTACACCGGCGTCGCTTGTGGTGGAAAGTCATCCACACCAAGGGTGGAGACCAGCTGCCCACTCTGCACTGCCCAGCACCCCTGCCCCGCAGAATCACGTTCCACTCTCCCAGTGCTCTGAAAGTCATCTGTCTTACAGTCCACAGGGAAAAGGCCAGTGCGGGACAGCGTGTAAGAGCGAGGCCGGTTTACAAGCAGCAGGCTGTGTGCTTGTCAGGCCTCGCTGGGCTGGGCGACGGGACGGCCCAGCTTTAAAAGGCAAACTGCAGGGTGGGCAGATTACTTCCCCATAAAAACAGACACCCAGGCCACCTGCTAGCCGTGCCCCACACCTTCCCCTGCTGGGAGGGAGCGGGTCCTGGCCCGCCCGCTGCACTGCCCTGCTGCCCGCCTGTGCTCCACCCTCAGCCGAGTCTCCCAGTGGGACAGTGACCCTGGGGTTGTGGTGCCAGGAGCACCCGTGGCGGCCCCTTCCTCCTCCTGGCACCTTCTGGCTCTAACCTCTGGCCTCAGGGCCCCGCTGGGGGCCAGGCGCTTGCCAAGTCTGGCGGGCTCAACGTCCGGGCAGCGGCACCGTGGCTCTGAGACACGGGTGGCCCAGCGAGGGGAAGCAGAGGGCTAGGGCTCCTGGGGACTGCCCGGGGATCGGATGGCCCTGGCTCAAGCCCCGCACAGGACCCTGCCTGCAGGTGCCAAGCCGGAGGCTGGGGCTCACCTTGTCGTAGATCTCCCTGAGCAGGGGCGAGCTGTTGAGCTGGGACACGGGCAGGGGCGGCTGTGGGGCGCTGAAGGTGGGCTCGGCCTTGCGCAGGGCGCGCAGCAGTGCGGCCTGGTCCTCCTTGCACAGTGACAGGCTTGTGAAGAGCGCCTGAGGCTGCAGCCCGTCGTGGGCCATCTGCTTCAGACATCTGTGGGAACACATGACGGGCGGTGGGTCCTTGACTCACAGGGCTGCCCCCGACCACCCTGTGGATCTCAGCAACAGGTGGCCATTGCGTCCTGCAGGGAGTCCCGGCCACCCTCCCAGGCCCTGACACATCACTCTGTCCCCAACAGGCCACCCACCTCTGGATGGCGCTGGCGTCCCGATCCAGCCGCCCCATGCACTGCAGGGCGGCCGCATAGGATAGCAGGTCCGGGGCGAGGCCGGCGTCTTTCAACATGAAGAACACGTAAACCAGCTCCTTAAAGGACCCCTGTGGAGAGCAAGCCACAGTGAAGGTCTGGGGTGGCCCACCCACCCCCAGGGGGGCCACGAGCAGAGTGGTGTGCGCAATGGACAGATGGGCCCTCTGCCACCGCTCTGTGCAGCAGAAATGCAGGCCCAGCGGGGACACATAGCCATGTCCCACGGGAGGCTCAGGTGGCTGGGAGGGGAGTGTTGGTTTTGTGGGAATGAACGTGCACAATTTCGGGGCAGCTGAAAAGGGACCCCCTGCAAGGCCAGCTAGCTGCTAAATGTCCCTCGAGCTCCGAGGACCCAGGTCCAGGTTTGGTGGCTCTGTGTCGTTTCCCTCCTGCCTAGGTCTCTGCTCCTTCCCGCCCACCCACATGGCTTGTTCCCCTGGTTTCCTCAGGTGGGAGCTGTGTCACTGGCCAGAGACGGCTGTCACCTTCCCTGTGGGCACTGCTCTCCTGAGCCTGTGACCGCGGCCTGTGGTTCCTTCCTGTCCGTCTCCCAGCATGCTCCAATTTCCCTTGCAACCTCCTCCTGGACCCGCCAGTAGTCTGAGTGCCACCGCAGACCCTCACAAAGGGAAGCGCCCAGTGTCCCCTGGCCCAGTCCTTCCGAGGGGCTGACCTGCCAGGGCCACCAGCTGGCGACCGGGTTCTGAGGCACCGGTGTCAGTGACCCTGGATGCGCCGCCCACTTTTGCAGGCTCGAGCCACAGTCATTTTGTTTAAACTTCAATGAGACGTTCAGTGCAGTGCAAGCTACACAGGCCGGTGCAGACAAAGAACTTTCCAGAAGGGTCTGAGGGGGGGTGTGCAGGGGGCCACGGAATCCGCCCTCCTGCGAGCAAACTCAAACGCACATGACGCAGACCTGCTACTCCTGTGACACAAGCAATGGCTGAACGAACAGCTTTGGACAAAAGATGAGACAGACGAACAGAGGAAGCTGGGGCCACAGAAGCCGTCCGGACGGGGCGGGGGGCAGGGAGGGGCAGTGCGCGTGGCTGACGCCCCTCCACCTCCACAGGGCGGGGGCTCTGGCCAGGGCCATCGCCCACCCGCGGGGTCACTGCAGCACGTTCTGGACACACCGTGGAGCCCACGTCGGCCCCAAATGAAGGGAGCAGGCAGGGCCACAGGGCATAACCGCGCACACCTGGCCGCACCCCCCAGCGCTGTCGTCGCGGGCCAGCGCCCCCGTCGCCCACG